ATAAAAAACTAGTTTCATCATTTCAGTTTCGTCAATTTCGTCATATTAAGAAAGGTAATTTTGTCAGGTATCACTAATTTCTACCAATAATAAAGTCTAAAACAATAAAAAATATTATTAAATTAAATTAACTAATCTATCTATATAATCATTAAATTCTTCAGAATTCATTGAAATTATTACTTTACTAAATCATACTCTATTGTGATAATTGTTAGTAACACATATTATGACGCCATTTTCTAAAATCAATGATCTATATATTTTTATAAGGCTTTCATCAATTATTGGATTTTGAAGTAATTTCAGATAAAAATCCAAACAATCTAAAAACTTGACAAGCTTAACTTCCATTTTATTATCAATTGTGATAATTTCTTTTATTTATTAAAAAATGTATTTGCATTTTGTAATGAAAATTCAAAAGCTTTCCAGAAAAGTTATATAGATATAATGATTTTGTTAATATCACTATTTGTCAAGAGAAAATATTATATATATTGCCTGATGTCTTATCTGTCAATATTTAATATCATATTTATTATTAATTATAAAAAAAAAAATAACAAATTATCACTTACAATTTGTAAAAGTTGAGATTTAATATTCTTTTTATTGCTTATCCTATATGGGATTTTAATGAAATTCTTGTGAAGGCTTTTATAAGTTTTTGTTGTATAGCCATTTATTGCATCATATAATTGTATTGAATCAATAATGTGATATACCCATGAATGCAACTTTAGAAACTTCAGGTTAGAACTCAAAAATTCAGATAAACCTTTTAGCCCAATCATTTATTGCATTCTAAAAAATTTTAGATTTAATTTAATAAAAATATTTATCAGCTTGCTTGAAATTTATTGAGATCATCTTCACCAAATTCTTCAGATCTACCTATAATGTACATTTTATTCCAACTTTCATATAATTTCACAAGGTCATTGTTACTTATGAAATTATCTACTACTCCTTTATCATTTCCAATATACAAATTATCTAATACGAATACATTTGTTTTATCAAAGACCGATATTCATTAGCAGTTAGCCTTGCAATTTGTAATCCTTTAGAAAATATTTTCAGATTAGGAAAACGGATTTTAGTTATTTTCTGAATAGTATAAAATTGGTTTCACCTGGAAAAAGGATGAAAAAGGTAATTTAGAAGGAATATAAATAACCAAAGAGAATTAAGTTAACTAAGTTGTAAGTAATATACCAAATGTTCTATGATATAGATAAATAAAATAAACGAAATGTAATGGATAAATAATTTTTTAGTATATATTTTTACGCAATTTTTCATTACCTTTTCCTCCACGTAATACCTCTTGGTACAACTCATCCCATCGTTTTTTCGACTCCACCAACTCGCTTTTCTATTTTCCTTATTCAATCCATTTCCCCTCTTCCAACTTTCCTTCCACCTCTTCAACTCTTCTTTTGATTATTCGTAGTTTAAAGTACAATGCGGTCTTTAATTTCTTCCATTTGTAAAATTTAAAAATTTAAAAAAATTAATTATAAAAAAAATTTTTTTTTTAGATCAATTAATTGTATATAAACTGTAGACCTCGTGACTTGAGCCTAGATCCATTGCAGAATCCTGTGTAGCCTATACATAACGGCGCTCAAAGAGCCGTAATTACTGTCAGCATTTAACGAATATTACGAATTCAAGTACCTCGGTTAGTTTGTGAACATTTCTTTCAATTTATAACAAATAAAACCCACTTCCAGTGTCTGAATATAACTCAATTTTCCTCCATTTTCCGCAACAGAGAGGTATTGGTTTGTCAAGTGTTTTAATTATAGATCTGTTAGTTTTTTTTTAATTTAATAATTTTATACTTTTAATTATTCCTTTATACTCTTATTTTAAAACAATTTTTTGTTTTTCGTTATAAAAAAGTTCTTTAAGAAAACATGAACCCAATTAAAGAAAATACTGCTTCACGTGAACATTCGATTGAACCTGTAACTACTCATACTCGTAATAAAATAGTATTACGAGCGAATAGATCTACTACACATAAACCTCGTAGTTCTAGCGGTGGGGGTGGTGGTTCTAATAGAACATATAATAAGCGAGCTAGCAAGAAAAATAAGCTTATAAAGACATCAAAAACGCGGAATAAAAATAAAGAAATTATTAGTACATCAAAAGAAGTAAACGAGAGTCGAATAATTCCTGTTGAGGAACCTCCGAGAGAAGAACTACCTTACGATAGATTTTTTCCTGATTTAAAATTGGATGAAAAATTAGTTGTAGTTTATGTTTCTTCTAAAGATCTCATAGGGGATCAAGAAGAGGAAAAGGAAGTTGAGACGACAATAAAGAAAGAAGAGCATGATGAAATAGCAGCTAGAAATGAAAAAAGTGCAGTACAAACTCAGGAATATGGTGATGTGAGTGATCAGTCAATTGTTATTGAAAATAATATGACAATTTCTGCCTCAACAACTGAACAGGCTAAAATTGAAGAAATTAAAACAACTATTGTACTTTCGAACAATAATCATCAGGAAAATTACATTCAAGAAGTCTTAAGCAATACGCATTCCATTAAGGGTTCTGGATGTTCTCAAGATTCATTTGCATCATTATCAAAGAATTTTGAAGAAACGTCCACACCTAAAGATTCTGAAGAGATTTTGTCATCAAAAGATCTGAATGAAGAAATGAGTGAAGAAACTCCAAGTCCAAAAATTTCATCCCCAAAATTGTCAATAGAGAAACCTTTTCGTAAAAGTACAAAAGATGACCATGATGATGATACCGCGAGTTTTAAGGCTTCATCTCATGATGATATGGATGAAGAAACTATTGACGAAGATGAACAGGAGGAAATGCAAATAGAGTTAGAGAATAGCATGAAATTACCGAGTATTAATTATGACATTACGGTAGAAAATAAATCACTTGATAAGGAAATGGATTGGATATTTACAAACCCAATAGTAGCAGCTGATGATCATAACTTGGTAGAAAATGGAGTAAAAAAAGATCAAGTCATTGTGGAAGGCCCTTCTACGGCTATTATTACAACAATGGAAGATAATATGCCAATTGCACAACCGCCTCCAGTTAAAAAACTTCCGGTTCCTTCCTTTAAGAGAATCAATTTCACTAAAGAGGAACCCAATGAAGCATTTGTTAGACCAGAAGGACATTATATTCGTCATGTTGGTACGTTTATATTACAAAAAAAAATGTTGTATAGATAAAAACTAAAAACTTAAAAATTTTAATGTAAATTCTAATGTATATTTCTTATTATCTAACTTTTGAAGAATTATCAGAAAAGGATCTTGTGGAAATTGTTGAATATGATATGGATGAACAAGGCACTCATATATATTATTGTTATATTATTGTTGTAACCATCTTTAAGATTGGTACATGGATATTTATACTTACTGGCTATAAACAAATTTAGATGATTATTGGTTAAAGGCCTTAAATGAAGAAAGAAGGAAGGAAGACTTAGGTGAAATTTCCGCTGATGTCTTTGAAGCTGTTATTGATAGACTGGAAAAAGAATGGTTCGATTTGGTTAGTAATTTTAATCTATTATTTGATTTAATTTATTATAAGAATTATTTAAATACTTATTGTTCGAAATAAAATTGAAATTAGACCAAAAATTTACCGAAAGGTAACACAGACAAAGATAGTATGACTCCAGAGGATTCAACTTGTGCAATTTGTGATGATGGAGAATGTGAAAACAGCAATGCGATAGTATTTTGTGATGGGTGCAATCTTGCTGTACATCAAGGTATTAAAAAAATTTTTTTTATTTAAAATATATATAAAAAAATAATATTTTTATTTTTAAAAATTATAGATTGCTATGGAATTCCTTATATTCCTGAAGGGCAATGGTTATGCCGTAAATGTATAGTTTCTCCAGAGACACCAGTGGTATGAACTATGTAAAGTTTACCTTTAAAAGTTTTGTTGATGTCATTCCAGCAGCACAGAAATAAAATTTTTTGAGTCTACTTTAAATTATTCATTATTAGTCGTGTATATTTTGCCCAAATGAAGGAGGTGCCTTCAAAAAAACTAATACAAATCGTTGGGCGCATTTACTTTGTGCTTTATGGATTCCTGAAGTGGGATTGTCAAATACGGTATATATGGAACCGATCGATAACATAGAGGGAATTCCACGAGGTCGATGGAAATTGGTAATATTGATTTATTATTCTAACAATTTATATTAACTTTATTGTTTACATGGTAATGCTAATAAAATTTTAAATCGTTAGAAATGTTACATTTGTGAAAAGAGAATGGGCGCATGTATACAATGTCAAAATACACATTGCTGTACAGCCTTCCATGTAACATGTGCAAGAAAGGCGAAACTTTGTATGAGAATGAAATTCCCTGACGAAAATCATAATCATTATATTATGAAAGCTTATTGTGATAAACACACACCTGTAATTACATTTATAATTAACTTTTTGATATTCTGTCAATATTGCTTATTAATTTTTTTTGCTAAATAATATTAATTCGGACAGAGAGATTATAGAGAACACATTGACGTTGCAAATACAGTTGCAACGGCTCAAAAATTATTAATGGATCCCGTTCAAACAGGAAAGAGACGACGACATGACATCGACTATGGAACTGATGAATCCGACGATTATGTTCCAAGTGATAGCGACGAAGAAGATATGGAAGATCAATACATAGATAAAACAGAAATATCCCATTCACGTAAAACAAGGAAACGCAAACAAACGGATGATGTAACAAGTAACCGGAAAACGAATAAAGCTCTACGTAGCATTGAAAATGGGCAAGTTGCTCAATCTGTTGAGAATAAGAATTCTAAAGCTGCCCGAGCGTACAATCATACTTACACTGATACTGCGCCTGTAGCACCTGCGGTTATAATGGAGAAGTTATTACCTGTGTTTGCAAGACAAAAAGGCACAATGCGAAAAAAGCCGGAGCTTATTACCATAATTTGTAAATATTGGTCTTTAAAGAGAGAATTTCGACGAGGAGCTCCTTTATTGAAAAGATTACACCTTGAGGTATGACATTAATTAACTCTATTACCATTCCATTTTCTATTATTTAGAACTTTAATTTAATAATCAAAATTATATTTAATTTTATTTTTTTAAAAAAAAGCCATGGACTGCCTCTGCTTCCGCTCACAAACAATCAGAGGAAGAAAAATGGGCCAAATATATGGTGGGAATATATATCTGGTCAAAATTTTATTCAAATATACACGTATTTAACATTTACAACCATTTTCTAGGCAATGACTGACCTTCGTAAAGATTTGGAAAAAGTAAGAATGTTAGTAGATTTGGTGCATAGGCGTGAAAAGGAAAAATTAAAGAAAACAAGATTACAAGTGAAATATCTGGAGACAATTCTTTTCCCTCTTGATTATATTCTTCGTCCTACATTAGAAGAAATTGTGGCGTAAATATTATTATAACCTTTAGATATTGTGAATTCTCTCTTTGTTTTTTTCAAGTATTAATTTCTTTATTCTTAATAGATTAGATAAAAACGAAATATTTGCAAAACCAGTGTCCATTGAAGAAGTCCCTGATTATTTAATACACATTACACATCCAATGGACTTTGGGACAATGCGCAAAAAGATTGATGCACATGAATATAGCCTTGGTAATGGATTGCAAGGATTCAAGGTATAAATCATACATATTATTTAAAAATTTATAAAAATCATGTTTATAATCTGATCGATAACTTACTTTTTTGGAAATTAGGATGATCTTGAACTTGTATTTCGTAATGCCATGACATACAATACTTCTGATACTATTTATTATCGAGTTGCTAAAAAATTACAAATTCAATCACAATCCATTGTTGCTAATGCTGAGCAAGATTATTCTGGCCTAAATATAGATCCTAAAAAAGGTGTTTTGGACGTTCCATTGCATCCAGAAATATTCACTTATAATGTAGATCCGCTAAAATTTCCGGAACCAAAAAAGAAGATTGTACCAAAGAGAAACAAAAAGACTCGTGGAAGATCAGCACTTGGTAACGCAACAGAAAATGGCGAAGGTCCATCACGCGTTTTACGTAGCCGTACTTCAAGATTGTCTACAACCTTAAAAAAACCAGAACAAGAAACTAAAGTTGAAGAAACTAAAGTAAAGGAATCTGTTGATGGTAGGAAATTGCCAAAAGGATGGATTTATTTAACAGATGAAGATGAGGATGAGGAGGGGAATGAAGAGCCAACTCTACAAACTAATGGGATTGAATATCAAGTTCCTGTCGTTGATGACGATAAGGTGATTGCTACGCGAACAAGGTCTCGTAAAAGCAGTGTATCAGAAATGATAATAAAGACTGAAGATGACGAAACTGAAATGTCAGTCGGTAAGTTATTGTTACATTCTTATGAAATATTTATTTCACGTTTATTAATGTATATTACCAAAAAAAATTATTAGAACCATTAGAAGTTAGACGCAGTCGATCTAATAGTCAAAATATGAGCGAGGCTGCATTAATAACTAGTCCAAGTGAATTAAATTCGGAATTTACTGTACAAACTCGTAGCCGAAAAGGATCAATTGATTCATCAACTGCAGAAATTACGAACATTCCGTTCGGTAGCTTGGTTTGGGCAAAGATGCAGGGATTTCCTTGGTATCCTGCTGAGGTACTTTTTTTCATCCAAAGCTATTATTTATATTTGTTTATTTTTAATTAATCATAATTTATTCTTTGTAGGTTGCAGATCCAGAAAAAGCGAATATTACATCAGTAATCCGGGCAGACAAAAAAGAAGGTGACACATACTTAGTCCATTTCTTTGACGAAAGAAACCTCGGAAAGAAGAATTATAAGCGTAGTTGGTAAGTTATTCAAAAACTTAATGATTTTTCACTAATATAGCTTATGTAATAATCATAATTAAATTTTTGTTTTAGGAAATGGGTTCCAGCAAACAAAGTAATTCTTATGGGAGATCAAAAGACAGATTTGGCTAAATTAAAAGATAGAGGAATGAAAAATAAAATGAAACGAGAAATTCCGAATGCATACGAAGCTGCTTGTAAATCAAAAGGAATCGAACCAGTCCTATTAGAACAATTTACAAAAACTATAGCAGTGCCAATAAGAAGAAACAGTCGTAATAAATAGAAATATGAATACTATATCATCCATTACTATTTTCATTGATGGGAGATAAAACAATTTTACCGTTCTTTCATAATTGGATTGGCCTCGCGTAAATCATTCGAAAAGCTGGAGACTATGGTTTATTTTGCTCCTGATATTAATGTAAAGAACTTATCCCTCTTTTTACATTATTTTAATAAATATTATCAGGAAATTTATTACGTACCAATAATATCTTTTATTACAAAAAAAAAAATAATAATAATAATAATTTTTAAGGTTAAGTTATTTAATTTTAATTAATCCCTGTTCCTTGATTCTATTTATTTATTCATACATAGCCTTTGATTCTATTTATTCATATCATAGATTTTTAAGTGAAATTTTAATTAGAAAGTATTAAATTATCAATGTGAAACAAAATTAATATCATTTGTAAAATATTCATTAACAATTTATTTTTAATCATTTTTTAATGTAAATAAAATAGTTTATCGAAAATTATTAATTGAAATTTTTTTTTTCTTTTTTTTTTAAAAAGATAATATCGCATTATACTTCTAGTTAACATAAAACTTAATAATTAATGTTCAAAAAAAAAAATCAATCGATACACTTTCATTATCTCAACCATTGTTTCTTGAATAAAGGATGATGATCTTTCGCTTGGGTTTTTTTATCTTTTTTCGGCATTATTGCTTTTGAATGAGATCTACCAGAAAATTCCATGTACGCCATATTATCAGCTCCTGATAAACTTTTCATACTACTAACAGATCTTTTAACTCCATATCCTTTTTGTTGTGATGTGAAATTTCTACTAGTGACAGTACCGGGTAAATCATCAACATTTATCTCAATATCATTATCTAAATCTGCATCATGATCATTCGCTAATAAAACTTCTGTCAATAATGATAATTGATCTTGATGATCTCTATAAACTAAACCTGTAGCTGTATCCATCCCTTCAAGTTTTGTAATTACTTTAAATGCATATCCTTGATCAATTAAAAATTGTTGTCTCTTAGTTGAATAGAACATTTCTTGCGTATCAGTTGATACAAGAGAATAAAAGAAGGCATTAAATCCTTCATCATTACGACGTTTAGCACGAAGAATACGGCCTATTTAAATAGAAACCAAAAGTTTTAGTAAAATTTAAAATAAATCAATAAAGTAATATAAGGAAAGTGTACTTACCTAAGCGTTGCGCCTCTTGACGTCTAGAACCATAATGAGAAGATATTTGTATAAGACACGTAGCTTCCGGTAAATCAATGGATGTATCACCAACCTAAGAGCAAGGATATTAAATAAATATTATAATAAGTTATTACATTACGTATTTTATTTATAAAAAGAATACTAACCTTTGATAAAAAGATCGTGTTCACCTTGGGGTTATGTTGAAACATTTGAAGAATAGCCAAACGTTCCGGTGGCTTTGTTTTACCATGAATAAAAGGAACTTTCAATTGTTTTGCATATTTCTAAAGAAAATTATATAAATTGAGCACGGTGATAAATTAATAAAATATATGTATTAATTGTATTTTACCTCCAGAGCATATACATTATCCGAAAAAACAATAATCTTATCTCCACGGTCTTCATGAAAGCGAATCAAATACTGACACGCATGAAATTTATTTGGATTCATGGCGTACAATAACATTCGTTTTCTAGAAGTAGCTTTAAGATATTCTGCATAAAATTCTGGAGTCATTGGACACCAGACTTCAGCACACTGAACATTGGCGATGTGTCCTTTTGAAGCTAAATCCATCCAATTAGCTTCATATAATTTTGGTCCAATCAAAAAGTTTAAATCACCAATTTTGTCATCTTCACGAACCAAAGTCGCCGTGAGACCAAGCTTCGTATGAGCTGCAATTGTTGTAACCACTCTTCTAAACATATTAGCAGGTACTACATGCACCTCATCTAAGAGTACAAATCCCCACTCCCTTCCTGTTATGAACTCCATCATCTTTGAAGCTTCATAAGATCTGGTTCTAGTATTAGCGACCATACTGTATGTGGATATAACTATACCAGATTGACCAGAGAACTAGTATATTCAAAAATGATTAGAAATACAATAAATAAATAAATAAAATTGAATTTGACAAGTAAAAGGTGATATTAATCTTGCCTTCTCTTTCTGATCCGATGTAAAAACAGCAATTTGACTTTCTTTAATGGTTGACCATGTCATAAATTGTTGCTTCCATTGCATTACAGATACACTATTAGGAAGATTAAATTTTTGATAAGTTTTTATCGTGTATTCAAAACAACATCCAGAATTTTTTTAAAAAATACTTGCGCAGAAGTACACAGTACAAGACAACTTTTCTTGATAGTGCAAGCAGCTGTTATGCCCACAAGTGTTTTACCAGCACCACAAGGCAACACTATAATTCCAGATCTTGCACGTCTAAAATAATAAATAAATAATAGTTATTTAAGTTACATAAATTGTAACAAAAAAATAAATACAACATACCCATTACCAAACATCTTGTTTAAACATTTTTCTTGATAAGGACGAATTACCGTTATTGGTTTGAGGTCGATATCAAGTTGTGCAAGTGTTGAATCGTTGCGGAAATCATATTCCTCCAACATAGGGTAATCAAGAGCAATGCAACGTTTTTTCACAACCTATATGATTTAATATGATAATCAAATATTCTATTTCCAAACATAGTTGGAAGCTAACAGTTAGCTAATAGTTACCTCAAATTTTTCCGATTTGATTTCAAAAGAATGTACTTCGTCTTCCTCCTCTTCTTCGTCCTCTGTATTAGAGAATAAATTATAAACTAGATTCACATTTTACATTTTAATTTTAATTATCTAATTTTTTTACCTTTATCAATTTGCACCACAGCATTAAATAAACTATCCTCCTCTGTGGTAAGTAATTTTTCTTTCTCATTTATATTTGTTTCATCAGTTTTTTCGTGAACTTTTTTACCAGGAATTACCAAATCTTTGCTTGTTGGTGCCTTATTTTTTAGAAACTTTTCATTATCGAACTCTTCAGCATTCACAACACGAGCTTCTGCAATATCTTTATCTTGTAATAATATTTGTAATACATCAGGATGTGATGATTCGACAAAGTATCGATTGTGTTTGAGCACGAGCTTTACTTTGCCATAAGATAATGTACATGACCTGATAAGTTTTATAATGGAATCAGGAATTTCAATCTAATGAAATTTAAACAAACTATTGATTAATAATTATATTTGATATTTAGGAATAAAAATTAATTTAATTAAATTTGCCTTTGACAAGATTTTTAAGACTTCTATTATAGCTTCTGTCTCTAACCCAACAGAAACCGCAGCATATAATGAATAGGGCGTCAACTTATATTCATGAATATGAGATGGTCTATAATTACAAAAATTTAGAAATTAATACAATAAAGTTTTCGTTAAAATATATATATATATATATATATATATAATCTACCTTACCTGCTCACAGGCTCGCTAATTGCAATTAAGAAATCTTGAGCTTTTTCTGCAAAAGGTGAAAATCCTTCAAGAATAATATGACCAGTCTTTGGATTTATCCATAATGGCCTATTCACATGATCTTTCTTCAATTGTATATGTGAAAAATCGTCATCGCCAAAATATTTTGAGACAGAATCCCGAGTGACATTAACTATCGATGCAGCCATAGCAAGGGAGTCTATGTCAAATACCGCACTTTTTGGAACTATAAATCCATATTTTATTTAATTTACCATTTGAGAATAAATTAAAGACAAAAAACTATTACTATAACGTACTCAATCCTTCTTTTGTAATATTCCGTATATCATCCTCGTCTTCTGAAATGTTTATCGGAGTAGATCTCTTTGATGATGGCGATTTACGGGTTTTTTTATTAGGCTTTGAAGGACCAACAGAGGGCAAATATTCTTCATCTAATTAAGTTTTTGTCATATACCAATAAACAGAAACAAAAATAAGAGATCACTCAAAAGACGCTTAAATAGCAAAAACTTTTATTTTTAAATATTTTTATTTATTTTATTACAAAAAAAAAGCAAACAGACAAAGTCAGGGACATACCGTCCCGAAAACGCTTTTTTGCAGACGGTAATGGCATTTTATTATTAATTATTATTAACTACGGACTTGTAAATGTTGAAATTGAAAAACTTTTTTTTTGAAATATGAAAAAAATTTTTTTTTAATGTTTAATCATCAAAAACTTGACATATTTATATTTTTTTTTTAAATAAATGTGTTATGGTTATTGTAACCAATAATGGATATGGCCAAGTGACACAATTTGTTACATACCCACAGATTTTCAACTTTGAGAATGATACCTGACTAAACTCTTTTTTTTGAAAAATTGTAATTTCGTCAAAAGTTTCGTCTCTTTAATATTTTTATATGAATAAATATAAAATTATTAT